TAAGAGAAGAGTTCTCTGAGCGAAGAGTAGAAATGATATTTTGAAGTTTAACAAGTTCTTTATGAATAATATCATAAGAATCTGTAAAAGAAAGACATAGATAATCAATCATCGAAGAAAGCGGATGACTTAGAGGGAATGATGGAAAATGACTCCGGACAATTTCTTGAACCGAGGTAACAATAGAAGAACCATCTGAAACTTCAAGACACCTGAGATAAGTCCGAATATTAAGAATGGATTCTTGAACATTGGCTGGAAGATGGTTAGACTGAACGAGATCATCTTCAAGAGATTTAAGCAAACCCAAGATAGAGCTATAAAAATAATTGTAAATAAAAAAGAAAAGAGAGAAAGACGTTGATAAAGAATCAAACAAGAAATATAATTCTACCAGATGAAATCAAAACAAGGTGAAGAAGACATTTTGGATAATGATGAACGAAAAAAAAAAAAAAACAGCATCTCTAATTAAATAGATGAGAAGATTTAACGATCACCACCAAATATGGAATTTATACAGACAAAAAAGGAACAGATGATAACGAAAACACCAATGACTTTATTATGATTTAGAAAGTTGTTCTTTGAGAAAGGAAACTTCTAATTCAAGATCACGAACTCTGTCACACAACATTTCAACATAATTAGAAGCTGAATGACCCTCAGGAGGATTAGGAAGAACATTACAGATCATCGTTCTTATAACCTTAAAAGTCTCATTGTCAAACCGACATCTTCTACAGTGAGAACCGGAAGAACCACTTTCAATAATTTCTCTGAGTCGATCAGTTTCAGCAAAGCGACCAACACAACTGGGACAAAGAAAAGGTCTTGAAGAAAAGACATTATGAGAAGGAATAGGCAACCTGTAAAGAAAGAATAAATTAAAGTAATGATTGCTAAAAGAAGGAAAACGAGTTTGATCTCTGGCCAATAACATTTCCTTAAAAATGAAGCGAACAAATGATATTGTATGACTGTTAAAGTCTGCCAGTTGTATAACCACTCCTTCATGATTACATCTGATCCAAATTGCTTAGATGCCTGAGCATAACGACGTACCAGACAAAAAAGCGAACTCTATCCACCTCACATGAGATGAACTTGCGAGAACAGAAAAACAGATTTATTGAAGAAAGGGAAGGAAAAGGAACATGTGTAAAGCGAAGGCACTCAAGTGAATGCAATGAGTGAAGATTATGGGATTAAGATAACAATCATTACCTTGAAGGATATAAAATATCTTTACGACCTCTAGGAGCAATATGAGTAGAGAATGATGAAGCTTCTATAGTAGAAACTTCAGAAGGAACTTCAGATTGAGCATCTTCAGGAAACTCAGAGGAAGGAACATACTCAGTACCCGAAGAAGGAGGAGAAGAAGTACCATCACCAAGAAAGTTCTCTGAGACAATAGAAATAATTTTGCCCCTAGAATTAGTAATCATAACACGACGAGACAAAGGAACATCACTTAAAGGAGTAACTGAACGAGAAGACATAGTTAAAAATGGAAAATAAAGCAAGAAGACAATTATGAACTTATCTTTAAATACTTGAGGAAGCCTGTTAAAATAAGTTAAACATATAAGGAGAAAAATTGACACGAGAAAACACGGGGAGGAATGATTAGCAAAAGATGTAAACAAGTAGTACGGGGATGGATCATTGTATCCAATAAGAATCAAGAAAATAATTATAATGCACAAAAAGCAATGTAAGTAACCTTATAAGTTAAAAGAACACATGATACTTATTGAAGCAACGCCACATGCGCAGTTCCTTAAAAAATAATAAAAGAAGCATCAATAATTAACAAAAGAAATCTTTCAATAACAAAGAAACAAAACTTTAATATTAAAATAAAAATGACTCAACAGGAATACGTAAAGGAAGGTATAATTGAAACAATAAGAAATAAAAATGCTTTCACCTGTTGCTAAAGGAAATATTCTTGAACAAAAAGTACTTAGAAAACTCCAAGAAATAGGAATCGAATCAAAAAGAACAGGAGGAAGAGGAGATAAGGGAATAGACATCAAAGGAATAGTTGCAAGAAGACCTTTCGTGATACAATGTAAAAATTGGACGTCCATAAAGATAGGAGAACAAGAAGCCCGAAACTTTGAAGCAACTATGGGGAGACAACCAAGAAGAACTATCGGAATACTTGTAGGACCATTAGAAAACCAATTCACGAAAGGAGCGAGAAGATATGTCCAAGAATCAGAATATGATATAATATTGGTGGGAGAAAATAATTTGCGAAGAGAACTTATAAAATTTATAGAACAAGAAGAATTTAACTTACCATATGTAACAATTGTAATATCTTTAATCCTTGAAACATATTTGTATATACTAATAAAAATTATTTCGAAGATGGTTACCTAAAAAAGGTAATAATAGCATGAGGAATGTACTACATGGTAACCTTATAAAAAAAGAGAATAAGATTCTGGACGACGAAAAAATGTTTAACCTCCGAGCAACTAGAGAAATTCTAAATATACTTCAACAGGCCAATATAAAGACAAGAAAAATAAGAAGATATGAGGACGATGATGGAATTGATATACGAGGAGAAATACAAGGAATACCATTTATAATATATGTGAGAAATTGGGGAAACATAAAAATTGGTAAGTGTACACTTACTAGATTTATGAATCACTATAATTGACTTCGCTGCCATATAATAAAAAGTATTATTTATTATGTGTGGGCAAGTAAGGGTGAGGTAATTATAAGGAGAATTAATGAAAGCACATCGGGCCATGATTTGTGAAAGTCATTAGTCAAGTAAAGACTTGATATAAAAAGGACGACCTATCATGAACGTTCTTAAGGAACCTTTGTGAGAAATAAAACTAACTATTTATCAAACAATAGTGCAACAAGCTGTACGAGAACTTAAAGGATCCCTGAGTAGAGAACAAGAAGGAACAATAGGAATAATCGTCACAAGAACTCAAGATCAGTTTACAAGAAAGGCAATGCAAGAAGCCCGAGATTCAAAGTATAATATAATTCTGACGGATAGGAATAATTTGTGTAGAAACCTTGAAGAATATAAAATGAAAAAACAAACAAGCGTACCCTTTGATGAATATGTATTTGTAGCAATATGTATAATTTTTGGAGTAATTTTATATCTTTCAATAATAAATTTTATTAAGGATCAATAATATATTCATTAAGACGGAAAAATAACCATGAGAAGTGATCTAATAAGAAAAGTCTAAGAAGATAGTAATCAATCTTTCTCACTTTTCTAAGATTATTTGACTTATCATAAATAAAAAAATAACCATTAAAACAATGATAAAGATATTTAGAATGATCAAGAAAATACAAGAATTGCTTAGGATGATCGCAAGAAAAAGAAGAGGAATGTGAAGAAAACATTGGATTACCC